TTTTTAATTCGCTTCTTACCTTTCCAAACTGGAAAAAGCATATTTTTGCAAGGTTAATGATAATATAAAATGGCCCAGCTATCTTGAGGGTTTTTTTTTTTTTTATTCTTTCTTCTTCACCCCTGCCACTTTACAGTTCTTAGGATAAGTTGCCATTATTCTGGGCTTCAGTTGTTCTTTGCTAAAGAAGGTCTGATGACTGGCAAGATTATTGAAATTACGGATTCCATCTGATTGTTCTGAAACTTAAAATGAATGACCTCTACAGAACAATTTATTAAGATAACAATATGTGGGGGGAGGGGAAGCAGTTACTTAGAAACATCACCAAACTTTAATGACAACAGGATTCACTTTCTGTACCTAATTGTCAGGAGGTGCAGGTAGGAGGCAGGTTGGTGTTACCATCACAGTTAAGAATGAGGACTTTGATGTCACTGCTGCAGTGTCCCAGGTCTTTAGCGTATCCGGAATAGGACAGTTGAGTTTCTTTTACAATATCCTAATTGGCCAAATACTCAAACACAGCACCCTACAAGGAAATGTGGTCAGAAACTCAGCTCTCCCATTACCTCCCCCTGAAGTCCTGACTTCATTCAGATTCCCTGTGCACATGCATAGTCCTGAAATGGACAAATAGTTGTAAAATACTTTAGGAGACTATTTGCCTGAAAGGCAGTGCCTGAGCTAACCTAAAATGATCTTTTTGGGTCCTCACGTCTATTCGGACCTGCAGGTTTTAATGTCTCATTTCCAAGGCTAAATGGAACTGGATTTTCAGGATCGATTTGTGGTCAATTGAATTAGCATTTTTGAAACTCTTCTATATCTATTTATTCCAGTGACTCTTAGGTAAGCAAAAAGCAAAAACAGTGCAGAAATAATGGATTCAGTGGTTCAATATAACTACAATAGTCTCATAAATATGCACTAATATTTCATTCAAAGTTATGCTGGGCATTTTTCTTATAAGAGTTGTTCCTTCCTCTAAATATTGAGAAATTCTGAAACTTACAGTAAAGAGCAGATTTACAAATGTGCAGTGCTTTTACCGTGTAATTTAATTGTTGAGATGCATCTGATCAACGGAAATGTTAAAACTCATTTGCTTCATTTTGCCATTTAGTCTCAAACTGTGTGTTCTTGATCATGTGTGTATAGTCAATACATATTAGCTCGCTTTATATAATATATAAACGACTTGAAGTCAAATGTAATACTATGTAATATAAAACCCATGTACTGAGTTCCTTTTCCTTGCCCTCAAAATAGTGAATCATATAGTTTTCCTATTTATAAAAATAGATGCTATTAACATAATGTAATTAATGCAATGGAAATGCAAGACCGTTGTAAGTGTAGGCTGCATTCTTCAACATCATCAATAGTTATGTAGCTAATGTTTTTGTTTATAACACTGGGTCCCAAGGGCTTCAGACAACCAGGTAACTAATAGCTGAGACTGAGTAGAGAGTATTAACACGCACTTTATGAGTAGATTATCTCCGAGAGATCAGGAGCATCCTATTTGTTGACTTCTTAGTCTCTGACAGCTTTTTCATCTGTCCAAGCTCAGTAAGATGCTGGAGGGGCTCTTGCGTCATCGAGAGTATGGATGGCTTTTTCTGATGCCACTGATGACAAATTATATCCTCTGGAAGCTCACATGTTCTTCTCTAGACGTCTGGAAGACCATCTTAGCCAGCCAGTGCTCATTGCTATCTCTTTCCATTCCATTTTGTTTGCGATCCACAATAAGGGTCACATCATCCAAAGGTTTCATCCCCCACTCAGTCATTATCATGTGTAGGAAAGAATTGTTCCTATAATTATTTCCCATGCTGCCATTCTTAATTCTTACTAGTGACTGAATTGTTTAAATTAGACCCCAACCTTTGAAGACCTCAGAACATGACTGTTTTTGACTAATGGTTTCAATCAATTACACCAACTTTCTCATTGAATATTCTTTTCAATTTCAGATACTAATTGCATGGTTTCTTTTTGCCCTTAGTGCATAATTCTGAAAACAGAAATTATCTGTTTTCACCATATAACAATAAATATAATCAACCTTATTATATAATTTCCATAATTTTCCATAATAGACATTTTTTACAGTGTTTTACAGTTTGCACAGCACTTTTACTTAATCATCTCACAAGCCTCTGAAACAGACAGGATAGTAATTAACTCAATTTTAATCATGAAGATATAAAGGTTTAGAGAACTGGAGTGGCATCCGGGGCACAACAAAAATGTGCTGGAATTGGCTTCTGACCTGCTTTTATAACCAGACTAGAGGTTTCCACAATGATACTCAATTGACCAACAGCCCACAACTTTCCATAATAAATAACCACACTCCACAATCTTCGTTAACAACGAGATTACATCTACACCATAAAAATAAAAATGAAGCAGTTGTCCAGACAGTTCAGCTACTCATTCTTCCCTCAATACCTAAATCCTTCTCCTAATTTGCATAAAATTAGGTTCTTAAAGCAAATAAGATTGTTCCCTTTAGTAGAATCAGATTTTCTAGTATTACCTCACATGTACTTATGTACTTTATCAAATGACAAAAATATATTGGCATTAATATGGTAATGCTGGACATTTTTTTAAAGATTGCAGTAGAGTCTTTCCATTGCCCCTTATACACACACACACACACACACACACACACACACACACACACGCTACTCAGTTAAACTCTGAGCCAGTAGTAGTTAGCAAAAAAAAAAAAAAAGACAGTGTCAGAATGTCACACACATTAGTTCACTTATTTTTGCTTGAAAAATTACCCCTGGATTATACTTTGCAGTGCTTGCCAAATCACAGCCTCAAATAATCCCCATTTTTTAAGGGCTTATCCATCCCTCCTAAACAATTTCAATTACACTCAAAATGTAAATACTATTACTGCTCTCTTGCTCTTTTGATTATGATGACTCTTTAGTCAGCTAACATTGTTATATTAAGTTCTCTTACCAAACTTTCATATACCATTGTATATACACAAAATGTACAATATTCATAATTTAAAAATGACTGGTTATACATATTATTTCAAATCAAACATTAACAGAATATAAATTTCATAATCTATTAGTTTCCTGCAACCATTCTGGACCAGAAATAGTTAAAAGTTAAATCTTTCTTTTAATCAACTTTAATTTGATCAACTATAAATAAACCTTTAAAGAGTAATTTTAAAAGAGTAAAAGTTTGTAAGTCAATAGATATAAAATTAAAATTGGAAATTTGAAGATTAATATTTACAGCTCGTGCTTAAAAACTTTAAACTGGATAGTTTTTCCCTTTTGGAACATACTGAACTTTTTAAAGCTTCCTTAGATTCTATCTTTGAATATAAGACTTTAAGTCTATTTGCAAGTAAGTTTCTTAGAGCACATGAGTCTGAACAGATCTCTCACACATTGTGTATTACACCATGTATATGAGATTGTACAAATCTGCTCATCATCCAGTGCAGTAAGTGTAATTGTGCATGAAGTTAAAATAATTTAAAACATTCTCAGAGCGTACAGTAAAAAGGTAGCTCTCATTGTCTAAATATCATTACTTCCTGCCTATTTCTAACCACAACTTCAGTCAGTGTTAGCTGAGATTCATGTCAAACAAAAATGTTTACCAGGTTCATCTATGGTAATTGCTTGAAGATTTACTTATCACCCCAATAGAGCTAATCTTTTGTCTGCTTCCTGATTTGGGGCTACAAATGACCTTGGACATCACTTTAACACAAACTGATCTGTCAATCTGGACTGATCATTTAAACTTGATATGATTTGGGTTCATATATTTCATGCTGACTTAAAATTACCCAATGATAATTCAGAATAGGGCTTTGTGCCTGTTCCCTTGACATGGTCAGTAACATGAAATGTTCAAAATACTCAATTTGTGCACCCTGAGTTTCTAATGGTGCCCTCATGTGGATAAATGAAAAATATTTAAACTTACTGATTTCTTAAACTTTTGTCTGGACTGGAAATTATGATCCTTTTTCCCCTATAATGAAATAGACTGTCTCTCTTTCCACTAACATCTCCAAGGATTAGACAGGACAGGACTGGCACATGTATCTAGATTCAACAGTTTTCCTTTGTCATTTTGTAATGTTCTATCTAATCATATCTACAATCATGAGATTTCCTCTTAGGAAGTAACTTAAGCAGTGGCATATTGTAAACCTTTAATAACTGGTTTTCCGGGTAGGGTTGGGGGAAGGTAGTGGTTACTATTTTCCATCGTGGTTCTCACTGGCTTCAGTACACCACTGCATTTTAGTGACCACATAACAGGTTTTATTTCAGTGTTTTAACAGAAACTCCTGACTAGCTTTTTGATTTTATCAATTGTTCAGTCTTCTGGTATAAAATATAGCCTCTACTGAGTATTATGTCCACTAATTGCATATAGCTTTAGATTTTGGAAGAAAGAATACTTCATATAAATTATATTGGGGCATTCTTAAAGCCATTTCAAGTATTTTAAAAAAAATCACCAAATCAATCGAATGTTTTGATATGTTACACATAAAATAACAAGTGGATATACTCAAGAATTTAAAAATTTTGAGCCTTTCTCCACTCTATTACTGGAAATTTAAAATTAAAAAAATACTATAAAAGGAGAGAAAGTGAAGTGAATGATATAATGTTCCTTTTCTAAAATACATGCAAAGTCCCATTTAGTAATATGTGCCTCAACCATCAGTTTTGACAACATAGTACATTTGGATTATTTTATCTTCTGGCAGACAAGAGGATTATTACAAAACTGTTTGCACCTTGCTGATTTAACACTTATATAATTCCTGTACCACACTCTGATTTTATTGAACTAGGTAAGTGTACTATACTTTTTATTTGAAAAACATACATATGTCACTATAAATCATGAACAGACTCTCCTACTGTTATAAAATTATTTTTTCATATATATATATTAATACAGCAAGGAGCATCTCTATGAAGTCATAAACAATGCCTACAAAACTTTATTTAAATGAAAGGACTGTTTGCAGAGAAATTTATTGAGTTATTTATTTTGATGAAGCTGAAGGCCACTGTCACATATTTCATTTCTAAATGTGGGCTGCAAGTTTACAGAATCCTACATGGTTTCTCCTTGTGGAATCAAAATAGTGATATTTTGGATTCAGTGTCTGTCTTTCAGAACAAAGCACTTGTCCACCGTCATTTATTATGAACCCAACAAATTCTTTTGTAAAAGGAAAAATAAATCCATTCCTACTTGAATATATGCATATTAAATCAGTATTAATCTAGGAAAAATGATAGGTAGAAATGTTAGTCATAAATTTCTCTCTTCCAAGTAGCCCATCTCAAATTCAAAGCAGGTGGTTGCTTGAATCGCCATTCTCATTTCAACATAGCTGAACCCATAGAGAAATTAGACATCATTTGCTTATTTCCTGAAGAACAGATTTGCATCAGAATTTAAAGGTGGGCCTTGAAGTATATGACATTAATATATTTAGATATTTTTAAAAAGTCTTTTACTTAGTATGTTCACAGCCAAAAGAGGGCGTGGAAAAAAATTCTCAAGTCTTTGGAGCATATAGAACTTGTGACCTTGAAAAATAAATTTGACATAAAGGAAATTTCAATTCTCTCCAAAATCTTCTTTCTAAAATACAAATATTTTATTCCAACGTTAGCACATTTTAATGGCTCTGCCGAGCATCCCGTCCCCCTATCCCCGTGGCTGCGTGCGCCACAGGGCTTGATGGTGTCTCTGTTTTCCTCCATTTCCAAGCTTCATTCCTTCCACATAACTCAGATGGGAGAAAAATCAGCACGTTCTGACCAGCTTAACACTGCCAGGCAGTAAGATGGACCTGAATTTAGTGGAGATTGGAGCTCCCAAAGGAATATAACACCATGTGTCAAATAAAAAAGCAAAGATATTCTCCTGTACAAATCAGAAGATAATAAAAATCAAGGAATAGAAAGCAACTCTTCCCATACCTACAACAAGCATCTCAAAATGACTGTGAACTTGAGAATGATTTACCTTTTTCTTGTTTGTAATGCTTTGTAACTGATTTGCTGAAGAAAGGTTTTAGGTTGCCTTAAAGCAAATTTTATTGGCTTGTCTTGGCAGGGGGTATTTTTGGGGAAGATTTTCTAAGAATTGATATACTGCTAAGTAAAATATATTTGCTAATCAACAGCAATAAAATCCTGCTGAATTCTATCTAGCAAGCTTAAAAAAGTCACTGTAAATTAAATTTGTTCCGAGTTTTGATGGGCGAGAAGGGAAGACCCCTCAATGGCAGGTGGCGTTTCTAGTCCTCTCCCTTGGCAATGCCGAGAAGGGATGTGTGCACAGGGCCCCTGGCTCACTGGTGCCACAGGCTCTACTCGCTCACAGAGGTTAGGTGCCTTTGTAGGTATCTGAGAGTTGCTGTCTATTCACAAACCACTGAGTATTTCTTTTTATCAAAAAGCCTCCAAATGCTTCAGAGTCTGTGGTCAGTGCAATCCCTTGAACAAGTCTAACAAAGATAACGCTTCACCCATCAGAAACCTACACAGGTAAAAATGGAGCAATATTTATCACCATTTTCTCTAGCAAGTGGAGTTCTGGTTGTTTTCCGTATGCAGTGAATTTGTTTTTGTTTGGACTTTGTTGTCAGTACATTTCAAATGGAGGTTCGGGGCTATGAGTACAAACTCTCCTGGCCGGTTCCATACATGTCTGCGAGTCGTTTAAAGCGGGGTCCCCAGTCACTCAAGTAGTCGTAATTCTGATCAGAGTTTGAGCTGATGGAATCTAGGGAGCTGAGGGACTCGGCTACGGAGCCGTTTCCTTCAAAAGCATATGTCTGCAAGGAGTCATAAGGGGGGGCGCCGGGGTCGACATCAGCTTCTTTCAGTCTCTCCCAAATAAATTCCCTAAAGATGACATTATCTGGGATGCTTTTGAAAGTGGGTCGACTCAAGAACTGAATTTCTGGAGTCACATCCCTCCTGGACTTGGTGTCTCTGATGACGTTGAGATTGCGCAGCGCGGCCATGTCAAAGGCTTCCGTGTCTTCCTCTCCCCCGCCCTCGTCATCGTATCTGACGATATTTTCTCTGATGTCTCTCTCTTCGTCAAAAATGAGTGGCTCTTTTTTCCGTCTTCTCATGGTGACGATCAGGAGAACCAGCACTGAAACAGCAAAGGGAAAGTTTCAGCAAACACACGGCCACTGGCGCTCATCGTGGTGACATTCACCCAGTGTGCTGAGTCCTAGATCTGCCTTCTAAGGGGACAGATACTGGCCTGCCCTCCACATGGGAATCCACGACAGCAAGTGTGCTGAGATGCCTTTAAAGTGGAACACTTTTATCTATCAAGAAACCCTTTTCCACACCGTTTCAGAATTGATGCCTCTTTCTTTACATAACCTCCCAAGTGTGGGCTAGTGCAAGCTGAAGGGGTCAGTTCAGGACAAACGCTATAATATTCAAGCCATGAAACACATAGATTTTTTTTTAACTCCTTGGTTAGGCAAAGTGACAGTTCATAAATATCTTGGCTCTAATTGAACACGTGAAGCTTCAAAAGGAATTTGATGACAGCATTTGGTCAGGTTGTTTGGAGAAAAGCCTAGCACTTGTCTGAAACCCAGGATTTTAGACCATAAGCAAAGATGAAGAACTTCTCTACAATAATCACAGCCCATTCTCAGGACAAAACACTGAACTTCATCTTTACACATTATACCTAGAGAGGGAATACAGGTTGTGAGATCTTCAGCATTAGCCAAAGCTAGATTTAGGAAATTAATCATCCCTTTTGCATTAAGAATTTTCTTCCTATAGCAAAACAGTTAAAAGGAAAGCACAGGATCACATTTATTATTATTTGGGTTTAAACAAAATGAACATATACGATGATAATACTATGAGTAGCTGGATGCTAGCTGAACTGCAAACATACCATTTTATCTTTAAAATACTTTTTAAACAATTTTTTTATATCAGCCTATTTTTTTCTTTTCTGGAAGGTCTGAAGATTCTAAATATGCACTAAATATACTGTTATTTGGGGCCTATTACTCTCAGCATATGTTTAAAAAGAAGCCTGAAATGCATCTATTGAAAGATCATACAAGCTTTTACATAGCACTAAGAATACATTGAAAACTAAAACATAAATAATGTTCCATTTTTGGAGGGTTTTCATCATAAATGGATGTTGAATCTTATCAAAGCCTTTCTCAGCATCTATTGATGTGATCATATGGTTTTTAATCTTTGTTTTTGTTGATGTGATGAATCACATTGACTGATTTTCAGATGCTTAACCTCCCTTGGACCTCTGGTCTGAACCCCACTTGATCATGTGTATGGTCCTTTCAAAGCATTGTTGGATTCGGTTTGCTAAGATTTTTATTGAGGTTTTTTGCATCTGTTTCCATGAAGGAAATCTGTCTATAGTTTTCTTTCTGTGTGTTGTCTATTTGATTTTGGTATGAGGGTAGTGTTGGCCTTATAAAATGTGTTTGGAAGTCCGCTCTCTATTTTCTCAGTTTGGGCAGGGTTAAGTACTCAGTTGTGAAGCCAATTTGGTGGTAGCTATACAACTGTGATGATATCTGATGGTGTGTGTGGGCAGGAGGAATGTCCAAATGTTACCTCAATTAAAAAAACTAAAATATAAAAGTCTTCTGAGTTTTAGTAAACTAAACAGAAAGAAATATTCAGAATATATATCATGAATAATATATAGAAGCCTATTCTCTTTTTTGCTCCTATTTACCACATTTGAATGTTCTCAACTGGTTTCACTGAAAGGGTAGATAATTAGCTCAGGAGCTAATATTTATATATTGTCCATTTCTCATTCTCTGGTTAAGGAGTCTGATGCCATCCGTCTCTGCTAAGTAGATCTCCAATTTTTGCCATTCCTGTCCTCTGAGAATAAAGCATTACTATCATTCCAGAGGCTTTGATTTTCAAAATCCTGTGTCAGAATATTACAAGAGAAAAGCCCTATCCGTTGTAACATTCTGGCATGGACCTTGAAAACAGATGATAACTTGGGTATCAAGAAGGACTTCCATGAAAGGATACCCTTCCCATGTTAGCTGTGTTATCCTGGGCAAACAACTTCATCCAACCATCTGAGCCTAGCTACATGTAATAACAACAGCCACCTCCAACGTTCATAAGGTGGACTAAAGAGACTGGAGAATAATGTAGGAGTTAGCAGAGTGCCAGGCATTGTGTATGCAAACTGAAAATTTTTCATCGTTCCTCTCTATCCTATCAAGAATATTAACATCATGGGGCCTCCCAGGTGGCGCAGCGGTTGAGCGCTGGGTTGCAAAGCTGCCCGCAGCTGCAGCGCCGGTTCGATCCCCGGCCACCAGAGGAGGGTCCCACATGGCGCGCAGACCTCTCCTGCCGCCCGCTGCTCCCCTCAGCAGTGTACTTCGGTCCCTCTGCCTGCTCTGCTCCCTGCTCTGGCTCTGGTGAATTCTCTTACCCTCCTGCGCTTCTGACTGTACCCAGTGCATGGATAAACAAACAAATAAATAAATGAAACATGCCTCTATTAAAAAAAAAAAAAGAAAAACCTGTGGGTCTTATAAAAAAAAAAAAGAATATTAACATCATGGACACAGCAAATGAAGACATTATTTCTCCTTGGACCAAGGTTAGTTAACAAGCGAAGTGGAAGATGTTCCAAATATAAGGCAAGGCACAGGCACCACATGTTAAATGGAGGAGGTAAGGGGAGAATGGACTACACACCACACATTTCATTTGGCCTGCACGGCAGTCCTGAGGGAGGGAGCTTTCCACATGAGGACTGTCTTAGTCACCTGAAACAACCTGGCTTTGGTCAACACAATAAAATGCAGACAGTGAGGTGTGCTCCCCTTTCACCTGCCTCCAGAGCCTTTGCTTTGAACTTCGTGAATCCATAGACACTGATTAAGAGACAGCTGCTTGCTCAGAGAACGACACACCAGTAAGTTTTGAGGAGTGAATGAAGAAAGTAATTTTAGATTTATGTACAACTTTAATTTCTGAAACTTTTTACATAGCTCCCCCAAAATAAAATTAATTACAACAAAAAGTTAAGTGGGACCAAACGAGACTAAATTAAGGTGTCAAACAGTGAGACAGAATAGAGTTAAGTGCCAGAGAGAATACTGATGGGTGGACAGGTGGGGGCGGCTGCAGGTGAAATTAGATCTGCTACATATACAGGAAAGCAAAATGGAGAGGGAACCGACTTCCATCGGGAGCACAATGTATGGGCATAGAGTGAATGAGGCTCTGAAAAGGATAAAATTATGTAATAACTAGTTACACTTTAAGTAAAAACTTCAAAAAAAAAGTAACAGGGTAACCATCACTGAGAGGTGAGAGATTAATTACTAGCATGTTTTTGAGAAATCTATGATGTGATAAAGTAATTCGCCATGTCAACAGTCGTAGAAAATCATACGAGAGGGCCCATCCATTTATGCTCAAACTCTGAGGGCAACTTATGCACAGATAAGTATAGCACAAATCGTGATGCAATTCACTAAAGAAGGTAAATTAATTTACCTTACATTAATCAGTGTTGTTCTGGCCTGTGTACTACTTTGCACCGAACTTTCAAAAATTAGAGAAATGAACAGGAGAAAAATAATAACGAAATATAAAACACAGCGCAGTGAACAGGCCTCTGTTACTCAGCTTAACTAAGGTCCAGGGCAGATGCGTGTCCAGATGTTCACATTGGAACACGGTTTACACTAACTCACCCAGGAAGTGCTTAGGAAGTCCACCAGACAACTCCCTGGAGGCCATAGCACTACAGGCCCTGGCAATGAAGAGGACCCCCAACAGCCCTGCACAAGAAGTGCCTGTGTGCAGTATCTCACTGTCCTCCTCAGGCCTCTCCTCTGGAATTTCTATGCTTGCAAATGCCCCAAATCTGCTATCCTATATTGGCACCTAGAACGAGGAGAATTCTGCAGGTGTGATGGTCAGAAGATGGCAGCACTGCCACTGAGTCCCCGGCTGTTAAAGAGGGATAGTTCCCTTCATGTGCAGGTTTAGCACATTCCAAACTCCGAGTCTGCAGTTCACTGAAAACCACTCAGTCATGTGAAGTACCATCCTGTTAGTGCTTTTTCCATCCTAAAATTCTGTGAAAGGTTTTTGTTTTAAATCAAATTCTAGGACTTCACACATACACACACCCCTGTTAATATCGCTGCCTTGAAGAGGGCCAGGAGGGATGTTGTTTCGCTCACAAGAGGAACAACTGTTCTAGACAGAGACAACACTGAGGAATCCTGGAGACCACAGAGACTGAACCTGCAAGGATTCTGGGGGGACCCATGCACGCGGTGGTGGAAGGTAGATGGCGAGGAACGTGGGGAAGGAGATGACAGGACTAGCCGGAGAGAAGAGAGGTGGCACAGAAGACAAAACCTCAACACCAAGTGGAAGAACTGAGGTGCCCACATGGGCTGGGACCCCAGCAAGCAGGACAGCAGGGAAGGCACTCTGTCCTACACCCCATGCAGCCCTCAGCATCTGCACTGGGGTCTGGGCGTGACAGCAGCAGGCAGGTCACTGCAGCCCTGGGGCCATGGACACACAGCAGGCTCCCTAGGGGAAGAGCAAAGTAGACAATCCCTGGCTTGTACCCTCGCTTGAGTACAGCCCCTGTCTGGCACAACACCCATTGCTCAACCCTACCCTTGAGGTTGAGGCAAGCAAAGATGGTTTAAGACATTTTGGCTAAAGAGCATTGGGGCCAATGGATCCCCACTGCACAACTCGGTTGCCCACAGCATTGTGGGAAGCTTGGACCATTGGTGCTCACCTGCTGCCCCTCACCAGTACCAGTGACTCACCTCTATAGGTGCAGAGCATCAATCTATCAGGCAAAAGACACCTAAAGATCTTGGCTAAAAAAACTTACTATAAAGTCAATTTGTCAAGACAAGACAAGGAAACTCCCTACTACACCGCATAAAAACTAACAATGAAGAGACGAGTGTTTTGCTTCTGCATCACCAGTGTGTTTTTCTGAGAGAAGTCTCAGTCCAGCAGAACTCTGGAAATTGCCTAGTGAGCTTAAGGTAAGAATTACAGCCATGCTTGTTGGATTTAGAAATACAACAATGATCAAAAACTGCATTCAGTAAG